GGTGTTGAGTCAAATGCCTTGCGATAGTTGATCCAGGCCATTGAAAGGTTGCGTTGATAGTAGATTGCATCTTGTATGACACATCGATCAACTATCAAGTTCTCCTTGCATCCTGACAGGCCTCTTTTGCTGCCACGCTGTTCATATCTCTGTTGCCATACAGGTTCTATCTCCTGCAGAATACGGTTGTTTAAAATTTTCGTAAAAATTTTATAAACTGCATTCAAGCAGGTGATAGGCCTGTAATTCTTTGGGTCAGACAAGTCACCTTTTTTAGGTATCAGTACGGTTCGCCCTTCCACAAGCCAGTCTGGAATCGGTTCGTCAGCTCTAATGTACGATGTAAATATGCGGGCCAGATGAAGGTGGGTAGAAGTGAACTTCTTCCACCAGAAGACATTAATGCCATCTGGTCCCGGGGCAGCCCAATTTTTGCTGCCATTTAGAGCTGAACGAACTTCATCCACACTGACTGCAGGGCTCTCTTCATGAGCATTCTGTCTACGGTGTTCCTGACAGAATGCTTTGAAGTCATGCAGAGCTGGAGTCTTGCTACATATGGGTCTTGCTCAAGTTCATGTAGAAAGAACTGGTTCAAGATTTATAAATGGGTGATTCTCTGAAAGGACATCTTAACTCTGTACAAAATTGTCCGACCAAATTATTTTTGATTTTATTAGAAAAAAAATTAGAAAAACGGTTGATCCTTCCTGAAGGCCATCCCTGCAACTTCCCGCTAATTCCATACCTAAACGCGTGAAATTGCACTTATGACGTTTTAGAGCTCTTCGAGCTCATAAATACAATTTGTAACTTTTTAATAAATCAACCGATTTTCACGCGGTAGGCGGCGATCGATGTGGTTTTTTGAGCTCTATAAATGATTCGGGCCTCGGCCTTATACTATGCCCGCTGAAAATATTTATCACCTCGACTGTATTTGCGCGTGGCTCGCCCAAGGTACATAAATAACTAATATATATTTTCATGATTAGGATATATTTGACCAATCACCAATATCAACCAATAGTTAATTTATCTAATAATTCATCCCGAAAATTTGGACATCAATAATTGACCCTCAAAAATATTTCAATCATATATTTAATATCTTCAATGTACAATAACAATTATATAATTGTCTTTTCACACATAAATATATCAGAAGAAATCAAAAACAATTAATAGCAAGCCTCGATAAAAGTTTTCAAATCATTATCTCCCAAAAATCTAATTATTTCATCAACGCAATATTCAGGCACCAGAGGAAAGACATTATCAAGAAGACGATATTTATCTAACACCAAAACTTGCTTTCTCTTCGCTGCGCAATCGAAGCATTTCTTCAAGATCCCTCGGTAGAGCGGAAACAAGTTTGCGTATTCAAACCTTTTGAAAGCATCTTCAATCCCAGGAATCATCGCATATCTAGCGACTTTATGCCTGCCTTTCTTCAAAATATCAAAGTAGCTGATTCCAGTGGTTCTAATTTTAACTCTTTTCATTTCTTCAATCTCTTTCAAGCACCTTTCCTTAAAACTATCCGTAACATCAACTTTATTTCCATAATACTCATTGATAATCTTCAAATTATCTTCTCCGACTACCAAATCTACCATTTGCATCTTGAAAATATGATCCTTAAACAACTTGAACATCAGCGGAACACTTTCCCACCTTAGATGATAATCATTATCAAAACTGTCGGTCATATGGAGCGCAGTGCGTCCTTCATTATCGATAGCTTCAATGTCTGCGCCAAACTCCAGAAGTATTTCAATGTACTCATCAAATGCAGCATCTGCAGCAGAATGAAGCGGCTTAAGGCCATTGTTATCGCAGCAATTGACATCAGCATTGCGCCTCAACAATTCTTCAATCACATCCTCCATGTCTTCTTGCTGAACTGCATAATTTAGCGGAGTTTCACCGTTAATATCCTTCGCATTGACATCAGCGCCAGCTATGAAAAGACACTTGATGTTTCCAACAAACCCCTGCAGTATTGCAGTGTGCAAAGGCGTCAAACCTTTCAAATCAGCCGCGTTTACATTCGCACCCTTCATTATTAAGCTCTCGATGATCTTCCAGGACGGATTTTGCGCTGCCAAATGCAACGGAGTCATAAGAAACTTGTTTGTGACACTTACCTGAGCTCCATAGTGCAGAAACAAGTTCACACTTGCCAAACTCGTCGAACTCACTGCGTTGAACAACGGAGTGTTGTTTTCCAAATCAACGACCTTCAAATCCGAGCCGTTTCTTAGCAGAAATTCCAGCATCGTCAAATCCGTCAATTGCGTCGTATAAAAAATACAAGTTTTCATTTCACTGTCAACTGCGTTGATATTCACACCGTAATCCAGCAACAATTGGACTATCTCAAGCTCATTGTTGTCGAATGCCACGTGCAACAAAGTGCTACCTTGATAATCACCCGTTCTAATAACTTCATCAACATCTGCGCCTTGTTCAAGAAGAAGCTTCGCTATTTCATACTCATCGTTTTCAACTGCCAATTGAAAAGCTGATTCTCCTTTGTTGTCACTTGGACATATCTTCGCTTGGTTGTTTAACAACAAAATGGCCACCGATCTGTGCCCTTTTTTTATCGCATCGCTCAACAAAGAATAACTGCAGTCTTGCCATAAATTCTCGTCAGTTTCTTTTAGGATTGTTATCAGGCTAAGTACTTCGTCGTAGTCACCACGATGTACTGCGTTGGATAATTTTCGGCTAAGTATGTTGCTATTAACCGCAGCCATAACTGAAGAATATAAATTTATTTTATAACAAATTATTAATATTATTAATTTATAAAAACTTACTTTCTGGTAGTTGTTTTTGTTTTTATTCTTTAAACGTGTAAAACTCTGACATGTTTTGTTAGTTTTATTTTTAAGCGGAGCTGTTTTAGTTTATTTTTAATTCACTAACTATATTTACCTTTTTTTAAATTTATTTTTATATTCTCGACGCGCATGTGCTTGTTTTACTTTTACGCATGCGCTCTGACGAAGCTTTATTTTAAAATTGCTATGTAAGTTCATTTTAAAATAAAATTATCAAGACTGAAGATAAGTTTTAGATTTAACATCATGATAGGCCATTTAAAAATTTTGGCGGTAAAGTTTTTGATGTTCGATATGGAAAGTTTTAATTTATTCGAGATATCGATAATAAAAATTCGATGTTGGTAACTTATCGATCAGGGAGCTCCGCAGAAATTGCTAGAATAAAATTATCTATTAAGAAAATAACGCGATGGAAAAAATAGGCACGTCTGTCGGCGTGAGGTGGGAGATATAAGTGATAAGTGCTACAGAGTTTGATGCTCAGCCACGTGGTGTCATTTGGTGTCATTCATTCCTCATTAGTCGGATAGTAAACGTCTACTGTATTGTAACAAATATTATTTTACATAATAATTTATAATTGTAATTGTAAGTGAAATTTATTATTTATTAAAGTAAAAATGGCTAATATTCGTGTCAATTCACCGAATGTAAAGTATACTGAAGAATTCATTGAAGCTAAATATGAATACCAGACAACTAAAATTGATTCTACTGATGAGTCGGGTATTGTTGTAAGTATTTTTTTTTATTGATTTTATTATTTTTAATTAACATTAAATATTTTAAATTTTGTAATTTTTTTCAGCGCGTTTATGTTAATTTGCTTTTTAGGATAATTTTTTTCTGCGTTGAAATTTTAAGTATTGATTTTTTTGAAGTAAATGAAAATTAATTCAGATATTTAATAATTTTTGTAACAAATAAACTATGGCAAAAAATAAGCAAAAAAAAAAATTGACACGTAGAAATTAAAAAAAATTAAAAATACAATTTTTTAAAAATAATTTTTAAATTAATTGAATAAAGTATCAGAAATTTTAAAATCATGATTTGCAAATAGATTTTATTTATTATAAAAATTATATAATTTAATAATAATATAATTTAATTAATATAATTTTAATAATTAAATTAAAACAGAAAAATATTTTTAAAAAATTTCACTTACAGTTTTTGAAGTTTTTCACAAGTGACATTTTTTTAAAAATTTTTTTGTAATAAATTTTTTAATAAAAAAAAATTCTAAAAATTTTCAAATGTCAGCTAACTTAATTTTCATAAAAAATTATAATTTTCATAAGTCTAATTTAAAAAACACAAATGAAAAAATTGCTGATTAAAAATTTTTTTAGTACAGAAAAAAAAAATATTTGAAATATTTAGTAAAAAAATTCCTTTTGATTAAAAAAAAAAAAAAAGAAAAAAAAAGACATAAAAAGTTAATTTTGGAAGTAACGTTCATTTATGATGTAATTAAAAAAAACTGTTTGTTTTATCTTTTAATTATTCGATGATAATTTTAAAACAATTATTAGTTGTTTGTTCAAGCTGTTAAATGTCATTATCTAACTTTTTTTTATCTAACACTTTATCTAAATAATTATGGATGACAAATTTATGTTTAATTTCAGAAATTAAATTTATGGATAAGGATTAAAAAATTTTTTTGACTAATTTAAGTAAATTACTTAGGAGATTAAAAATGAGTATTACTTTCTTTAAAAATTTCACTTGATATTTTATCAAAAAATTTTACAACTCTTCAAAAAAAAAAATAAAGCTTAAGGAGGAACACCTTAAGGAGGGGATTAGATTTTTTTTATTTTATTAAGGGTACATTAAATAAATACTAAATTATTGCAAAGTTATTAACGATCTCATAGAGCAATAGAAAAAATTTCTCCCTTCATGGTCGCATTGATAACTCAAAAACGGATCATCTGAAAATAAAAACCCAAATTGCTTTTTAATCAGTAAGGATGTAGTTATCGTTGCACATACGGAATTTTGAAAATTTTAATTTTCAAAAAAATGACGACTGATTGATAATTTTCTCATTATTTTTGCTGTTTTTTTTTTTTTGTTTTAACCCAGCTAAAAAAATTTTTAAATTCCACATGGAGGGGGAAATTTTTTCTAGTGCTCTACGAGATTGCCCGTATAAAAATCATCTGATATTATGATGAGCTTCATTATGAAGATCATATTTTGATACAAACATGAGATTCATATAAAAGCCATATTAATGTACACTACCGACAGAAAGTTTTCGGACAAGAATGAAAATTTATTAAAAGTAAAATAAATCAAGAAAAAAGTCAAAGATACGATCGTACACGCTTTGTGAAATAACATAGCATTTTCTTTATAAATCAAGTTAATGTGTTTATGAATCATATTTAAATTAAAAAGTAAACAAGAAGCTTGTCCGGAAACTTTTCGTCGATAGTGTACATTTGATACCTGTAATAAGTAAAATATGTATGAGAACAATTTTTTTTTTTTAACTAGATTATAAAATGTATATTTTTTTTGTTGGAGAAAAAAAATTTCTAGTAATTTAATAATGAAATCATTATGATATTAACATCAATTTATAATAAAGTGATGGTCATATCTGCATAAAATCATAATGATATTGTTAGCCTTTTTGAATCGCAATATAAAATTATTGAGTCATAAATATATACAGGAAATAATACAAACTTATCAAATTAAAGAAATTTTTAGGCGGATTTAATTTGTTTTTATAATAAAAAATAATTATCTTAAGACGAAAAAATTTTTTTTAAAACAGATAGTGCTTTTCTAAATATTCTTCTAAGTTAAGAAAATCAAGGAAAAAAATAAAGAAGTTCAACAATATAGTGCATTATAAAAATACTGCTTTTCTCAATTATTATATTTTTCCTCCGATTAACAGAAAAAATGAAAATTTTACTAATCTACTTAAAAAAAATTCAATCACATAAGTATTTTACTTATCACGGTTTTCAGATGAATATTGATAAGGCTTTTATATGAATCTCATATTTGTGTCAAAATATGAGATTCATTATGATTATGATATTCATAATGAACTTGATCATGATATCAGATGATTTCTACACGGGTGTTAATAACTTTGTAATAATTTAATGTTTATTATTAAAAATTTAGGGTAATAATCTTTAATTATTTTCCCTATAGTGGTGTTCCCTCTTAAAAATAATCTTATCATGAAAAAAAATCATTAAATTTATATCTTTTGTTTTTTTATAAAATGATTTGAATGAATTGTCTAAAAATAACTAATTAATCTCTTGTTTACAATCAATAGTAGCTTCATATTGATGAAAACAAAAACATCTCTTATCAAATCTTTAAAATGGTTTTAAAATAAAAACACTAAAATAAATTATAATTTATCAGGTATCACCCGAGTCGCATAAGCTACTGATACGCACCCAAGCTAAATTGCCAAAAACAGGAGTGATGCTTGTAGGATGGGGCGGTAACAATGGAACCACTTTTACCGCAGCTGTTCTAGCCAACAAGTTGAAACTGCAATGGGAAACAATCCGTGGAGTCCAGACTGCCAACTGGTATGGCTCAATCACCCAAGCATCGACTGTGCTACTCGGCGTGGTGGGTAACGAGGAAGTATACGCACCCATGAACGCCTTGTTGCCGATGATCAACCCAGATGACATCGAAATCGATGGCTGGGACATATCAGACATGAACATTGGAGATGCAATGCACCGGGCTCAGGTTATAGACATCAACTTGCAGAAGCAGTTGAAACCTCATCTGGATAAATTCGTACCGAGGAAAAGTGTCTACTACCCTGATTTCATCGCTGCCAATCAGGTTTGTTGGATTTGCGTTTATTTATTGATAAGTTAGTTAAAAAACACACTGTTAAAAAGAAAAATCATCGCTGAACTTATCACAATTTTTTTAAATTGATTAATTGCTGTTTTTATGTAAAAAATGGTTTTCATAGCCTATGGTGTGGATTTTTGAAAATTTTATGGAGGGACAAACACGATAACTTTTGAAAAAATAAATTTTCCAACTCATTTTTTTTTTCAATCTCTTCATCTGCCTTACGGGAAGTTAAGGATTGAAAATTGCAGCTTGATGTTGTTTTGTTTGTTTATAATTAATTATTGTTCGGCTGGCAGTTGAAGAAATTTTCTGTTCTTCAAGCAGCCACATAGAAAAACACGCGCTATGAGGCGTGTAATTTATCTGTAAATAGAGTTTTAAGACAGCTGATACTATACTCAATTGCGTTCAATGGCTAGCCAATAATACTGTTTTTAATTGGTCCTTTTTTATTATTCATATCAGAATGAAAAAGGACGTTCAGTTCGTATGAAAACAAATACTATCCGCGGGAAAATTTAAACAAGCTTTAAAATGGAATTATAAATAAAATTTCTTATAATTTAGGTACTTGTCATTAACTTATTAAAATTATTTTTTAACTTATTCTTATAGTTTACAGTATGTAATTGCTATTTTTACATAAAAAAGTGGTTTTAATAGCCTATAGTGTAGATTTTTGAAATTTTTATGGAGGGACAAACACGATAACTTTTGAAAAAATAAATTTTCCAACTCAATTTAGTTTTGAATCTCTTCATCTGTCTTACAGGAAGTTTAGGATTGAAAATAGCAGCTTAATATTGTTTTGTTTAATTATAATTAATTATTGTTCGGCTGGCAGCTCAAGAAATTTTATGTCCTTTAAGCAGCCATATAGAAAAATTTATTTGAAAATAGAGCTTTAAGATAACTGATACTATAATCAATTGCGTTTGCTGGTTGGCCAATAATACAGTCTTTAATTGGTCCTTTTTTATGATTCATATCAGAACGAAAAAAAAGCGTTCAATTCGTATGAAAATGAAAACATAAAAGTTTGGAAAATCCAAAAGTGTACGACTCATAATGCTCATTTAATTATGAAATATTAATAACATAAAGAATGTGAAAAAAATATATAAAACAGCTAAAATAGCAGAATAATGCGTACATAATCTGTATAGATATACAGTCTTCTGGTTTTTGTTTTATTTTATTTATTGTACATTAACGACACTGAATTACCTAGCCATTCGCATTTGGTGACCTACAATTCTTCCAAAGAATTAAAAAAAAAAAAATTTAACTCAATTAATGCATTTTTTTTGCAAGTTACAGTGTTTTCGGAATTTCATACATGATGGACAGAAAAATTTTTTGACTTATTTTGATGATTTTTTCCGTTTCTATTGCACTAAATCAATCTTTGAAAAGTGTTAAATTAATCTCCATTAAATTATCTTGACAATAGTATGCAAAATATCTTGATTCCATGAATTAACAAGACTATAATAATAAAAATAGTTGCCGAAATGAGGCGAAAAAAAATTTTTCGATCGCAAAGCACTCTCTGATGTTTCGCATCATGAGTCGTGCAATACTATCCGCGGGAAAATTTAACGTAGTTCCAGCGTGGTATAGTATAGTCAGAGCATTTACTATGGACAAAAATTTAGAAGCCTCGGCACACAGACGTTCACACATACAATTACAGATTGTTAGTCTAGTGATCTGGCAACGTTGCTCTTGAAAACCGTGAAAGATTTGAATTTCCCGCTTTTTATGCTACACTATTTCAGGGAGCGTTGCCAAATCACCATAAATTGTTCAATGAGCAGGTTAGAAATGAATTGAAAATTATTTTTTTTAATTATTATATCTCGATAACAAAACGGTGAGGTGCTACTTTTATTTTTTTAACTTATTCTAAAAACATTTTTCAACACTCTCCTAATTTTTTTTCCAATTATGTCGAGAGAATTTTTTAATATAATAAAAAATAGTTGGAGAGACAGGACATTTTACATACTTTAAATGGAACATGACCCTCAAAATCGTCAACTTTGACTTAAAATATCTCGCGATCTAAACGGTAAAAAATTACGAAATTTTATGAATTTATAAATAAAGCTATTCTGAACCCGTATAAAAAATTTCAGCCGAATCTGTCGAAAAGTGATTTCATGTTGGAACTACCTTAAACAAGTTTTAAAATTGAATTGTAAATAAAATTTCTTATAATTAACTTATTAAAATCATTTTTTGAAATTTATTCTTGTAATCCAGTAGATAATTATTTTTTTCAAAAATTCTAATTATTAATTGTTATTACAGAAAGAACGTGCCGACAACCTAATGACTGGTTCAAAATCCGAGCAATTGGATAAAATCCGTGCGGATATAAGAGATTTCAAATCGTCAAAGAACTTGGACAAAGTGATAGTCCTTTGGACAGCAAATACCGAAAGGTTCTCAGAGATTCTACCCGGCGTTAATGACACGGCCGACAATCTTCTGAAGTCAATTACCGAAAATCATTCCGAAGTAAGTCCCAGTACTTTGTTCGCCGTAGCTGCTGCCTTCGAAGGCTGTACTTATATAAACGGATCCCCGCAAAACACCTTCGTGCCCGGTATGATCGAACTAGCAGAGCGTAAGAATGTTTTCATCGCTGGTGATGATTTTAAATCCGGCCAGACTAAATTAAAATCAGTATTGGTAGACTTCTTGGTGACTGCTGGAATAAAACCAGTGTCTGTTGTCAGCTACAATCACCTTGGCAACAACGACGGCTACAATTTGTCAGCACCTCAGCAGTTCAGGTCCAAGGAAATATCCAAAAGCAATGTGGTTGATGATATGGTATCATCTAACAGAATATTGTACAAACCTGGAGAGAAGCCTGATCACTGCGTGGTGATTAAATACGTACCGTATGTTGGCGACAGCAAGCGAGCGATGGATGAATACACTTCTGAATTAATGCTGGGCGGCCATAACACCATCGCTGTTCACAACACGTGCGAAGATTCGCTTCTAGCGACGCCGATTATCTTAGATTTGATAATTTTAGCCGAGTTATGCGCAAGAATTTCAATTAAACGTGTTAGTGATTACACTGACGCTAGCAATGATGGTTTCATTAATTTCCGCAGCGTACTGTCGCTACTGTCGTACTTGTGCAAAGCGCCTTTAGTTCCTGCTGGCGCTCCATTGGTTAATGCGCTGTTCAGACAACGTGCGGCTATCGAAAATGTTTTAAGGGCTTGTTTGAGTCTACCTCCAAATAATAATATGATGCTTGAACATCGTTTTCAGTTTTAAATTCACATTTTTTAAGAATCAATAGAGAATTTGCATTAAATTAATATCACTAAAAATTTATTATTAAATTATAGAAAAATTTATTCAGAGGCTTATAATTTTTTTTCTGATAAAAAATTGAATTTTTTATAATAATAAAGTTACCCGACATTTTTGATTTTTTTATTTTGCTTAATTTATTTAATTATAACTAATAAATATTTTTAAAAAATTGCACTTATAGTTTTTGAAGTTTTTAACAAATTAAATAATTTTTCTTTAATAAAAAAAAAATCATAAAAAATTTTAGATGTCGGCTAACTTTATTTTCATGAATTTTTTTATAAATTTATTATAAAAACTCGATTTTTCCGTGTAAAAAAACTACTTATGATTGGTTGTGACGTCATTATACCTTTTGGGACTGAGAGCCAATAAAAATCACGTAACACACTCATGAAAATTAATATTTAATAATTTTTATGACAAACAAATTATGGCAAAAAAAAATTGACATTTAAAATTCTTGAAAAATAAAAAATACAATTTTTTTAAATAATTTTTTTGAACTTATTTGTTTGTTAAAAAAAAATTAAAAAATTGTCTAGTGACTGTTAATTTTAATGTCATAATACACTTGTATTTTCTGTATTTTCTGTACACACATCGCCATCTTAAATAACAACTAAGTGAAGACCTAACCTACAAAATTACTATTATCTAGGACATTCAAGTAATTATTATTTATTATATAATTATTTTGATATTAATAGGCATTAAAATTTAAATTTATGTGATGAAGGATTAATTATAACCTATATTTGGTAAAATGGCTGTATATTTTCTTTTTTTTTTTTTCAAACTGACCGCCAACATAAGTATTTTTAAATTTCACCGTGGGATGGCGTTAACTAAATGACGTCACTAGCATTTGAATTTAGATTCTAAAATTTTTAAGAAGGAATTCTTGATTTAAAAATAATCCAAAAAATTAATTGTTAAAAAATTTTTCTATTTAATTCTCTGAATAACTTTCATTAAACTTAAAAAAAAATCACAGAACATGCAAGATATTTATTAGGTCAAGTTTACGTTAGAATTATTGTTTCAATTGAGGTTATGTTACTGTATAGTTCGGTTAACTTCGGAACCTTTCGTTTACCATCGGTTGTTGTGGGTTAGTATTGTTTAAAAACAAGATTTCTTACCTAAAAATGTTATTTTGAAGATAATTATCGATTGTTTTGACTAAAATAAAAAGAAGAAACAATTAAAATTGTCATAAATGAAAATAATAATATAATATATTTATAAACCTAAAAAAAAAAAATTAAATCACAGAACATGCAAGTTCTCTATTTAATTCTGTGAAGACATGTTTATGTTTCTGCTTGTTGGACCATTAACTGCTCGAGTACCTTAATAGTTACATTCAGTATATCCATAGGCTGTTTTGAATAAAGGTTTGAGTATGAATAATTGAATGGTTGTTTTTGCTTGTGTGAAAGGAATTTATAATGTATTTTTGTCAAGAGAATGATGGATAAAAAATTTTAAGGGATCTCCCAAACCTTTACTATGAAACAGTTTTAAATTTTTCATGTAATATTCTACCTCACTGGTACCAAAGTATTTTATTTACAAAGAATTTTTGCAGAAATATTCTGTAATAATTGTGTGTAAAATGAAGAAATAAATATTATCTTATTCAAATTTAAATAAGTGTATTATTTCTATAACTTTTTCTATTAAGCATACTTTTTAATTTTGCGTTTAATAAATTACAAATACAGCTGTGACGTCTGCTAAAACCTAAAATTTTTGTTTTTCTTTTAAATATATGTAACTTTTTATTTTTAATTTACAATTTATCATACCCTTGAAGTCTGTAGAAGAGTAATAATCTGGCCTAACTTTCCAAAGATTTGATGACACCCCTTTCCAATTTTCGGATTTCTATTTTTTTGTCAATACCTTTCAATTTTTCAATAACTTTTACCTATTTTTGTATTCATAATACAGTGAAAGTATCATCTCATTTTCTATTCCAAATTGAAGACTCAAGGTAAATTTCGAAACTACTCATGAAAGTACCTTGATTTCCAAGAATTAGAAAATGCGATGACACACGGACAATTGCCCTTCACTACCTTTCAGTTTTTTTTTTTTTTTGAATAATTTACCTACGAAGCCCATACAATCACTGATGCTGCTAATCATATAAATACCGCCCGAAAATCATTTTCTGGCAGTTCGATTTCGACCAGGATACCACTGGTTAGCTCCGCCTCGGTCGGCTCCGGGCATCAAATTCTTCGGAAGCACAAAGTACTCCGTGATACACGAGACAGTGCCTTGCTCGTGGTTAGGTTACATTTAGTAGCACTAACACGGTAAATTCATTCGATATTTGCCATAGTTATATTCCGTTTTCTTCTTTTTATTATTTTCCGCCGTTGAGCGTCGATTTTTGATTATTCCGCCGTTGAGCGTTGATTTTTCCGCGAGAATCGCGAAGTATATTATTTCCGCCGTTGAGCGTCGATTAGTGTTAAGTTTTTGCGCTTAAAGTCGCGAAGATTAATTCATTATTTGCAATTACTCAATTTCTCCGTGATACACGAGATCCGGTAATTCGGTTTTGAAAATATCTTAGCGTCGATTGAGTTTTTCTAAGTTTTCGCGTAAAATTGCGAAGATACAAATAATTCATTATTAGTAAATACTTAAATTCTCCGTGACACACGAGATACGGTATTTCGATAGTGAAAACTACCCATAGAAGGTGAAAGGGCCCATTAAATTTGAGCCTCTCTATACAGACTTCCAGGGTAAGCCCAATTTGCGCTTCACGCAAAATCGTGAAGCGTTCCACATTTTTTAACAAATATAAATAATACATTATCTACTTTTAAGACATTATTTTTCTAACATTTGTGTTCTTTTTATCTCTATCTTTATTAACCGTTTTGTAAACCCAAATTTGTAACACTTTTACTTGTTTTTCTCAATAAATTCAAACAAATAAACAAGTCGATTATTTCACTTTTACTTTTAAAATAAAATAAGATCTCCTTTATAAAATAGAGTTACAACTAAACAATAGAATAGGTTACTCGTGACCGAAGTCAGCAGGATCCATCATCCTTACTCTCTCTAAGTTAACGCTTAGAGATAACGTTCGAGCTTGTGTACCGCTCCACACTCCAACGCAATTTTTAATTTAGCTCCCGAACGGACAAGGTGATAACGTTCGGATATTTGAGATTTCTACTTCATATTCCTTGCGCCCATCACTCACTCCGTTCGTGACACAGCTGTTAATTTTAACCTCTGACGTCAATTAATCTTTTCTATTGATCTAATCGTACGTTAACATAGCTTGGGGAGAGTGTTTTATCTCTTCACCTTTGATAATCAATTGAGTAAATATGACACGTGTTTACTGAACTTTCCAATACTTGGAATTATTTAAAGAAGTCTGTTAAAAGTTAATAGTCTGTTAATAGTCTATTAATAGTCTGTTAATAGTCTGTTAAAAATTGGGACTTTTACGCAACGATTGAAGAATTTTAATTCAGTGTATATTTTATTTTTAATTATTATCCATAAGTAATTAATTGTGATTGACTTCTTTTGAATAATAAATTATACGGTACAAATCTATACATTTTTTTTAACACTATGAAGATTTTAAAATTAATATTAATTATTTCTACAATTAATTCTATTTTTATTGAAGGTAAATATTTTATTTTTTTAAATATTGATTTAATACTTTGTAAAAAATAAATTTTGGATAAAGAAAATGAAAATTAACGTAGCATATATTTAATAATTTTTAAAATTTTATAACAAATAAATTATGGCAAAAAATAATAAGAAAAAAAATTGACATCTAGAAACCCGAGAAAAAATGTTTCTATATAATCATATATAATTGTATATAATCATATATGATTATATATGGAATCACATATATAATTATATATGACTATATATGGAGCGATATACAACCATGCAGGATTATATATAGTTCCATATACAAATATATATAAGTATATAAAATTATATATAATCATATATAATTATATATGACTATATATAGAGCAATATACAGCCAAGCAAGATTATATATAATTATATATAGTTATATATAATCATATATGATTATATATGGAATTGTATATGAAGTCATATATAATCATATATAATTATATAGAATTATATATAATCATATATAATTACATATAATCATACATGATTATATATGAAATTGTATATGAGGTTATTTATAATCATATACAATTATATATGACTATATATAGAGCAACATACAGCCAAGCAAGATTATATATAATCATACATAATTATATATAATCATACATGATTATAAATGGAATTGTGTATG